CGACTACTACTACTGCTACTATTGCTGCTGCTACTACTACTCTTACTTAGTACTTCTACCGCTCAGTCGCGGACGGGAACTAAATAATGTTCGGAGTTCAATGCTAGAGATAACGCTCTGTCCAGGCGGGGCAACACCTCGGGGTGGACCACCCCCTGGGACGGCCGGCGAACATCAATCTCTCACTGGGGACTGCAATAGGAATCGTGCAGGAGGGGCGGTGAGGAGGAAAGAGAAAAGGACGAGGGGGAGCAGGAGGAAGAAGAACGATAGACGACCCCATGACTTGCGGAAGGAAGGAAAACGGACGAGTAATTACTGGCGGTGGAAGGGGGGGAACACAAATTATCTATTTGCTGCGGCTTGATGCGGTGCTAGACCCCTGAATTTCGACGAGAACCGACGACCATGCTCGAAGGCGTCGAACTTCGACTCCCGCGACGCTGCCCCTCACTTTCGATTTACAAGGGAAAGACTCGGCCATGCGAAACTCGGCCATGCTGAACTCGGCCAGGCTGAACTCGTCCCAGGTCGAGCTCCACTTTGCCGAGTTCAGCCTGGCCGGGATATGCATGGCCGACTTTCGCCTGGTCGAATTTTGCCTGGCTGAGCTTCGTTGCCGCGCCTTTTGAGGTGGACAAACATACTGCACAAACATAAACTGTTGGAGGTCCGCGCAAAGCCCGACAAGGGCGGCGATGGAGGCGCCGCCAGTGGGGCCCAGCGTCGATCCAAGAAATCCGCGCGGAGCTCCAACAATTTATGCGAACGCAGCTGCTTCTTCTTCGTCTGTCTTTCCGATAAGTAATCCCCCCAAGAAAGACCCTCGACCTTTGGAAGGGGACCTGAGTCAGGAGGGCCAGGAACACCAGGGACGGAGGTCTTTTCTGCAGATGTATCCTAAGAAACCGCCCGAATTTATGATCCCTCATGCGAAGGCGGGGACCTCACTGAGGCTACGTCTTCATCGTGTCCTCAGGGTTGGGAATTCTCTTGCTCTCGAAGACACACGGTACCCATACCGCAACTCACCAGACCTCTCCGGGATGCGTTTTGGCCAGAATTTCCAAGCGAATCCGGCGGTGGCGACGAGGGCCTCCCTGGAGGCCCAAAAGGCGAAAACGAGCCGAGGCCGAAGGCCAGCCAAAACGGCCCCGAACAAAGCGCTCTTCCATCATGAATTCGATCTAGCCTCCCGTGGCTCAAAATGGGTCTAGAAGGGACCTGCAGAAAGCATGCTACCAATTACACTCCGACACTCCGACATTCTGTAACACTTTGACTCCATTCCTACACCTCAACTCTACACCCATGCCTTCTTCTGGTACCCCAGTCGAGCAGCTTTTCAACGTGGAGAAGCACAATATCGCTTCGCCGTTCTCGTCTAAATCGCCGGTTACACCTGCCGCAAAAGCTGCTCGTGTCACCAGCCCGCTGAATGAGATGGACGGGTTGGACGCTGAACTGCCTGAAGCAACAGGACCACCACAACCAGCAGGGGAAGCAGGACTTGCTAGCGACGATCCCCCACACGTTCGTCAGCAGCAGTTCGAACAGGACATTGTGGCCGCTACTGGCAGGGATGGACAAGATGAAGGCAAAGGAAAATATACAGATGGTCCTTTGACTTTGTCCGCGATTGGCACGCTTATAGCTGAACACATACGACCCATCCAACAAAATACTGCGGCTATTTAACTTCATGGAGACTCCCGTCGGGACCTGCAAGCAGCTACAGAACCACTCTACGCCTCAATTGAAGAAGTAACTACGAAAGTCGAGCACGAGATCGAGGATGCCCAAATACATGTTACCAATTTGGAGAGCAGCATGAACGAGCGCATCGACAAAATCACACAAGACTTGGATCATATAGCACGGCTTACTCCGCGATCGGCGTCTTGGACATCACACAATCCTGGAGATCAACACCACTACAATGGCAATCGCGCAGGTTCGGCAGCATCAGCCTCTTCACGTAACACGGCTGATCATGATCACTACTACGGGAAGCGCGCGGTCACAGCGGTGATTGAGAATTTGAAAGGCCTTGAATCTGAAGATGCCACTGCCGCTTATATTCGAACCGAATTGGACAACATAGGCGGACCAATTTCTGCAAAGATAGATTCGAAAGGCGTGTTCGATGACATCTTGTTCGCCGAACTCCAAACGATGGTCGACACGGACACGGCGGTAGCGCAACTACGCAATGCTAAACTTCAACGGGGTGCGCATACATTATGGTGTACACAAGACCGGGAACCGGCCATGAGGGCCGCGCGCAATCCGTGCCTTGGGTTGAAATACGTATCAAAGCAAGACATGAATATCACATACAACATCAACCTTTCCGATAAAGCACCATATACGGTTGAAGTGGGTGGGCACTTAGCGCTTGCAGTAAGTACTTTTGGTGCTGCCAATGAACGTATCTGGGAAAAGGATTGGGCCTGATGGGCTGACCTACAACACAACCCCAAGCTTTTAGACTTGTTGAAGAAATGCGACGCTTCACTAGAGAGGGCGTCCATGGGGATGAAAGGTGGACCCAAAGTAACATCGAAAGGAAGCACTGGCAATTAGAACATATGGCGGGCACGCGAGCCTCTTAGCACGAGCCCCGCTGCCAAAACGCTTTCACTTCACAGTGCACGTCAGCACCACAAGCCTTTCAAAGCGAGAGAAACACGTGCTGGTTTAGACGTGGATCCGGATTCGGACAAAGATGCCGACCTACCACTTCTAAGGGCGTGAGTGGGCATGGGCAAAGCTACCGCCCCTCCTCCGCGGCCCCTGCCACAGCAAGAACACCACCGACCACTGCGTGGACATGTTGGGGGGCAAGATCTGGGCAACACCAGTTCCAAGCTTACCAACTTGTGGTCTACATCTTCTTCGAGCTCTTTTCCTCTTCCTCCCCGACGCCTTCGCCATGAAGATCTTCACAAAGATTGTACTACTGGTCCGGTCGGCAAAACAAGAGATACTGATATGCATAGCTCTGCTGATGCGGGCATCTCGTCCACATCATGCCTGGGCAAAGATACCAGGCCGAACCACCAACTACTGATTGCTTCCTCATCGTATTCTTCTGTTTATCTCTGTACTCCTCTCCCGGCTTCTTCTGCATGATTTTCTTATTTGTCTTCCAGGGGGCCTCCGACCTGTCAGGCGACACAACGACCTTCTCTTTCGACAGGCGCCGTCAAGCCACCAGTGCATCGCGGAGAGTGCTGGCACGGTCACGGACATGCCCGCGCAGACGAAGATCTACATCACCAGACCTCCCCGTTGCCACCCTCCTCCATTCCAAGATCCGCTCCAGCAAATTGTTGCAGCCCGCTATAGAAACAATCGTTCGGCAGCTGGAACGTGGAAGGCTTGGGCCAAAATATGGCTAAGCTGGCAGAGCTGGAACATCACATGCGCCAACACACCATTGCCGTGCTATGCATGCAGGAGCCTGGGATCACTACACACACGGAGACTTACGACAATGACTATCTGCTTATTTTGTCTGGCACGTCACAAGCACAACAAGATGGGCGACTTTACTCTGGAGTCGGCTTCTTGATTGCACCCTGGGCCATCAAGTCGGTCATCCATTACAAGCTCATTTCGCACAGGCTCGCCATCTTGAAGCTCAAGGTTCGGGGCGGAGGGCTAAACATTATTTCTGCTTACGCCCCTCATGGAGGTTACGATTATGAGGACCGGCGCGACTTTTTCGAGCAGCTAGCAGACGCCTGCCCGGCACCGAACAATCATGTCTGCAGTGTTGTTCTTGGTGAGCTCAATGCTCGACTTTTTGATCGCGAGCCTGGCGACGAGGACATCATAGGGGACCACATGTTTCGAAGCACGTGGCCAAGAAGAACAACATATCTGAACAGGGAGCTTCTTTTGGAAACTTGCAGAGCAATTGGAAGCGCCATCGCAAGTACTTTCTTCGAGCACCCCCTGGAAGAGTTAGTAACGTACTGTGGGTCAGAAATCGACAAAACCAGTCCTGTGGGGGAGGGTTTCGCTCAAATCGATCATTGCCTCACGGACGACAACACAATCAACAGGATAGCGGACATTTGGGCAAACCGGTCAAGCTCATTGGCCTCGCGGCATTTCTTACTACGTATGCTCATCGACCTGGAATTCGACAACACGCCCACACTCGGCCAAGGAAGAACTATTGCAAACAGATGCTGGTCAATGACAAACATCTGGCTGAAGCGTACAGTCGCCGGTTCTGCGAAGCCACCCACCAACGCATTCACAGAGGCGCTGAACTTGGACTCGCACGCTAACTACATCAAACATACCATGGAACATGCAACTGAAATACTTCAACCAGCTGGGCGGGAACCGCGACGACCATGGATCTCGATACGTACGCTCGGTCTACTGAATCAACGAGATCATGCTCAAAGGCAGGGCAATCTGGCAGAACAGAAGAAGCTGAACAAGTGCATCAAAGCGTCGGTGCAGAAAGGTAAGCGTGATTGGTTGGATACCGAACTGGCCGGAGGCCACTGGAAAGCAGTGCGTGCGTTACACCAACAAAAATACCGAAACGACCAATTCAAATTCAATATGAATTTGGGCAAGTCGTGGAGAGCACCAAGCGGGCTGACACTCTCGCGGATTCATTCGAACAAGTGCAGTGGGAACTTACTTATGCAACCCTTTCACTCAAGGAACACAACGACATGGGGGAGACACTGCCAATCTACTCCGGCACTTTCGGAATGCAGGAGCTTCAGGATGCACAGCGGGCTTTAGGTAGGGGGAAAACTGCAGGCGTAGACGATGTACCCCCAGAGCTTTGGCAAAAATTGGCACGATCTCCGGAAGCAGGCAAAGAATTGTTGAAATTCTTTCAGAGGTGCTGGGACGAAACATATATCCCTCATGACTGCCATACATCAATCATCGCACTTTTACATAAGAAGGGCGACGCTAGTTTGCCAGATAACTACAGGACGATTTCTTTATTGACGATTGGGTATAAGCTCCTTGCTTGGATGCTGCAAAGCCGTAATGGAGGCGCCGAGAAAAGAATACGACCCAACCAGTTCGGATTTCGTCCTGGCAGAGGCACGGCCCAGGCCATTAGCATCGCTCGGCGGATGTTCGAAGCAGCGCAGACAGCGCAGGCACCTGGTTTGATTGCAATGTTGGACTGGTCCAAGGCGTTTGATCGGGTAAAACATGATGCATTTTTGGACGCTCTTCGAAGATTTGGCCTACCTGTGGACATGCTGGATATGGTGGCAGCGATTTGCAAATGTAGACATGTCAGATTAAAAGACCCAGCTTTGAATTCAAGCCTGCGGAAACAACAAGCAGCAGGAATTGCCGAAGGCTGTCCTCTTTCGCCTTACCTGTTCATTTTCGTGCAAAGCGTGATGTGTTTCGACATCCACCAGCGCATGGACGGCCTCCACGTTGACATCCAGGAGCTGGAATACGTGGTATGCCGTGACCTTCTTTACGCAGATGGTACCATGCTCATAAGCAGCGACTCCGGGAAGTTACAGACTTTACTCGACATTGTAATCGACGAAGGCAAGAGGTACGGTCTGGAATTGAATTGGGGCAAGACTGCATGCATGAGAGTGCACAATGATGGCGTGATTGTCTCCCCCACTGGTGCGCCACTGACAGCGGTGGAGCAAACAAAATATATTGGTGGCCTGTTGAACGTCAATTGCATAGCAAAGCCGGAAGTGACCAGGAGGATCGGTGAAACCAAATCCGCCTCTCAGAAATTCATCAGCCGCGCCAGAAACATATGACTGTACAACGCGATCGATTTGCCAAAACTTCTGTATACTTTGGGAACGCTTTTGCTGCTGCAGGCGGACGAAGACCGTTTAGGCAGCTTCCACACGCAACGTTTAAGACGAGTTCTAAGAATTCCAAGCGCATATGTTTCACGAGTGTCTAATAAAGAAGCTTTGGAACGAGCGGGGGAACACCCACTGAGCTCCACACTTCGCTGGCGCCAAGCGGCGCTGTACAAGAAAATTGCAGCGTTACCCGGAGACGAACCTCTCAGACTTTTAACTTGCCAGCCTGGCACCGATCTGCCCAGAAGATGGGCGCACCGGCGACGCAGGGGAAGGCCTAAACAGCAGCGGGCCCCTTGCGTGTATAGTCTTCTGCCTACACATGCGCTTTACGTGCGGCGTTTCTGTTACCCCTTCTCCTCTCCGCCCCTTTTCCCTCCTCTCGGGTCGGGCGAAAGGGGGGGATAGCAAAGGGGGGGTTTGAGAATCAGCTCGCGTAGCTGATTTTCCTGGCGCCTCCCGGCGCCGGAGACGGCTATGTATCGAGCAATGGGCCCCTCGGTGAGGCCGAAACCAGCTGCATGCAGCAGATTTCGTAACCCCCCCTTTCCCAATCCCCCCCTTTCGTTCGGCCCGATCCTCGCCCGCTCCCCTCCTCCACCTCCCCCCGCGTGGCGCCGATACGTTTGCAGGTGAATTCGTATCGTTCTCACTGCCCGCATTCCTCTGCCTGGTCCGAGCCCGGGGCTATTGCTGGTGTCTTTCCGGTCACGCGCACAACTTCTCGTTCTGTCCATGCGCCGTCTGTGCGCCAGGCTTGCCTGAAGGACTGACCTCCCCTCTCGTCCGACCCGGACGATCCTCTTCAATGATCCGAGGAGGCGGCCGCGGTCGGCTGGCTGCGTCTCGGTGGGCGCATGAGACGCCGGGCCCCTCCCTGGCGGCGTGCCGCGGCTGCACGAGGGCCGCTTCGCGAGCGGCCGGCGTCGCGCTGCGCTCCTCGAGCGGGGCGGCGCGCTCGCGGCCCGGCCAAGAGGGGGTCTGCCGCAGCGCTGCTGCGAGGGACGCGGCTGAGGGCAGCGTTCGGGGGAGGGAGGAGGAGGGAGGAGGAGGAAGGAGGGAGGAGGAGGGAGGGGAGGAGGAGGAGGAGCAGGGAGGAGGAGGAGGAGGGAGGAGGGAGGACCTCCGGGGTCCAGCCCGGGGGGGTGGGAGCATCGACTTGAGCGACGAAGAGAGCTGGCATAGCGACCTTCTGCCCCCCAAGCCAGTCCCTCCGCGTGGGGGGCCAGCTTGGGGGGTTTGGGGGGGGGCCGCCCCCCTAAGCTGGTCTCCCCCATGGGGGGGGGGACCAGCTTGGGGGGCGACCTCATGCCCCCCGAGCGAGGGGACCGACGAAGAGAACGGGGGCTTACGCTCGATGGCATAGCGACCTCATGCCGCGGCTTACGCGGGCGGCCAGCGCGGCACGCCACACTGAAAACCTTCCGCGGGCAGCTTACGCGCCAAGGGCGTTGCGTGCAACCTTTCGCGGGCAGCTTACGCGCCAATGTCGGTGGAGACGGCCACCTTTTTGTTGCGTCGCTCACCTGGGGTTGGCGACGCGGCCACATGCTCCCGCAGAGCGAAGCCGAACGCTCGTGGGCAGGGTGGGCCACCGGCTCCCGTCGGCAATCACAGGTGCGATTGGGGGGCCGCTGCCTCCTCGTCGTCCTCCTGCTCCTCCTCCCCCTCCTCCTCCTCCTCCTCCTCCTCCTCCTCCTCCTCCTCCTCCTCCCCACCTCACGCTCCTCCGCCCTCCTCCCTCTCTCCTCCTCCTCCTCCTCCTCCTCCTCCTCCTCCTCCTCCTCCTCCTCCTCCTCCTCCTCTCCTCCTCCTCTCTCTTCCTCCTCCTGCTCCTCCCTCCTCCTGTTCCTCCTGCTCCTGCTCCTCTCCTCCTCCTCCTCCTCCTCCTCCTCCTCCTCCTCCTCCTCCTCCTCCTCCTCCTCCTCCTCCTCCTCCTCCTCCTCCCCCCTGATCATTGTCTCTGAAACTGGGGGGGCAAATAACTGCTCCACTGGACGGAAGGCTGCTCCCATGGACCGCTCCCGGGAGCATCACGTCGAGAATCTCGAGGCGAACATATATCACCGTCGTGGGGCCCCGGGGCAATCTGGACCCGGGAAGCTGGGGCCGCGCATTGAAAACATCATCAACCTGAGGGGGCCGAACGGTCTTAGTCCATCCCTGGGTACGTGGGTGAAGTGTGAGTCCGCGGCTCGGATTTTGCATGGTTTTCCGTTGTGATTGACTGATTTCGAAAGAACAACTGTTATGGTTGATCCAACCTCTCCGGTGCCTAACATGTTTTTAATCAAAATTGCCCTACTGGGGCTCGAACCAGTATTTTTACAAGAGAGCGTATTCAGACTCAGACTGGCCCCCTGGCCCCCCGAACTGCAACAACAACGGCTCCCGCCTGATACCCCCTCAGAATTTATTCAAAAACGCACCCTTGCACGTGATTGCACCAATTAGCTAGGAATCGTTCATACGCCGCGCCCTCGAAACTCAGGAATCACGCTCTCGCTCTGGCTTTCCTCACGATTTACCTGGGAATCGCGCTCTCGCTCGAGATTTCTTCGCGATTCATGTGCAGCTGACGCTTCAACGATCCGCCCGCTCGACCCCCCTGTCTGGACCCGCCCGCCAGACTCGCCCGCAAATGGCCGCCCGCCCGGCCTGCCAGTCTGTTTCTGCCACTTGTTTCTCTGCTCCTACCCCCTCTCCTCCGAATCTCTCTCTAGTTCGCAGATGGCATCTATACACCACCACCGTGCCAAGGCAGGGCCATCCTGGGCCCCAGGATGGTGTATACGCCCTCCTGGCCGGGGCCAAGAGGGTCTATACACCATCCTGGGGCCCAGAATGGCCCTGGCCTGGCACGGTGGTGGTGTATAGATGCCTTCGTCGGATCTAGTGCTCCATCCTTTTCTTCTCCCCGTTGTCCCTGCTCTCCTCCCATCCCCCGTTCTAGGGGCCGCGCCAGGTGCACACAGCAAGCAGGGAAGATCTGCCGCCTCGCGGGGTGCATCTGCATAACCCAAGACGAAGACTGGCCATCGCTCGGACGTCCATTCCCTGTGTTTTTGTCGGTTTCGTGCGTGTTTTTTCGCCAAATGATCAAGGATGCTCCTCGATGGTCCTCGCTGAAGGAAAAATGCACACGTCCGAGCGGGGCCTAGAAGAGGGTGGGTATCGAGGCTGTGGGATATACATGTAGCGGCACGCGAGCAGGTAATAATCATCCATGATGGGAGCCGTCCGTGATGGGAGTAAGGCATCCGATTGCTCCCATCATCCCACCGCCAGGGCGCGTCGCCGGCTTTGGAACGCGAACACCTAAACATTATCATTGTTGATCCCTTGTCTGGTGCCCGTTATGTTTTTCAATTCGAGTGCTCCTCTCGGGGCTCGCACCTGAATTTTACACAGGAAATGTTGCGCGTCAAATTGGGCCCCTGGGCCCGTTTTCAACGACAACGGCTCCCGCCGTAAACTTCCTCACAAGTTACTCCAAAATCCAGCTCTCGCGCGGGACTTCCTCGTAACGTATGCAGGAATCGCGCTCTCGCGTGGAACTTCCTCGCAATGATTCAGACGCTCTCGCTTTGGCGTTGAATCGGGCTGTCGCTCGAGACTTCCTCGCGATTTATGCACGATTTCCGCTTCAACAGTTTACCTGCTCGACCTGGCCTCCTGGGCCCGCCTTCCTGGCCCGCCCGTTGGGGTCTACACGCCCGGCCTGCCCCTCTGAAGGATCCCCCTCGTCGGAGCTCGGAGAGATCCAAGCTACTGCGAGGGCTTCTTCCAGGGACCTCCCACCATCCGGGGGCTCCCCTTTCTCTTTTCCTCTCTCCCCTCCTTCCCCCTCCCCTCTCCGACCCGGCCCCCCTCCGTCCGTCCAGGGAGTTCCCCCGGTCGAGAATTCCCCGACCTGAACTCCTGCACATTCATGCCGGAGGAGCCCAGTCGGATTCCAGGTTGCGACCTGCTCGGATTCCAACATGGACACGGGGCTCCCATGGGGCTCCCGCCTGAGACTTCGTCGCAATTCACTTGCAGACGAGGCTCCCGCCTGAGATTTCCCCATGTTTGAGTACAGGATCCCGATGACCCGCTCGGATGAAAAACATGAGGTGCGGGACCCATAGGGAGGGAGTTCCCGCCTGAGACTCCTTCGAAATTCACTCACAAACGAGGCTCCCGCCTGAGACTTCGGAGCCCCCAAATGAGGATAGTTACGGGATTCCGATGACCCGCTCGGATAAAAAACGTGAGGTGCGGGACCCATAGGCAGGGGGCTCCCGCCTGAGACTTCCTCGCAATTGCGTCACAGACGAGGCTCCCGCCTGATACTTCCTCAAGTGTGGGTGTGAGTGATTGAGTGGGTGAGTGAATGAGTGAGTGACTAAAGATGATGATGCTGATGATGATGCTGATGATGATGATGCTGATGCTGATATCAGGCTCCATAGGGGGACCCGGGTCTCGGGGTCAATGCCTCTCTGATGGCTAGCTTGCGCTTGGCTATCGCTCGGGCCCTCGCTCGCATCAAAGCTTCCACCCTGATCGGATTGGTGGCCACAGGGGTCTGAGAGCGAACGGCATGACAAGTAGTGAGTAGGAGGTCATGCATCAGAGCGGCACCGTGCAGGGCTCTACTAGAAGACAGCTGAGGTCTCAGAAGCAGTCTATCTATAGCATTCCACTCGTTGAAATCTGGCGGCAGAGACGGGATGATAGCGGACAGCAGTGGCAGCAGCGCAGGACACTGAAAATAATGTAGAATGTTGGTCGGAGTCGGAGGCTCCGCACCCCATTACGCAACACCTATGCCCAGATCGCAAACGGGCCGACGTGGGCCAGGCATTGCACACCGATTTTAAAAGGGAGGAGGCAATGAAGGGGGCTAGTTTGGTAGCGGCAAGGAAAATGGCTCGAAACAAAACATCTGCATGGCTCCTAGGGGCCTCACTCCAGAACCTGCGAACCCTCGGGTACAATTCGACAGAGATGGACGGACGACCCATTTGATTGGCAATCTCGAGCGTGACTTTTCTCTGCTCATCATTTGTGTATTGATCCACTTGTGGGCAAATCGGCGTAGCTTCGGTCCAGTTAGTAATCAGTGAAATGCACATCGAGGCATGGAGCCAAGATCGGTGTCGAACGACCGCCAGGCGCTCGACATCTTCATAATCAAGAAAGTGTAGCCGAGCCTTCACTCTCTCGAACGCCGAACTCTGCAGGGCAACTCGAAACAGAAATGCTTTGTTGGGCTCCACAGGGAACCCGAGACCTAGGGAGTTCTGAAGGACGGAGGTGGAGATGGCGTGCCACGGACCCAGGGGCAACCTTTGGAGAGTACACTTTTCAGCACGAATTACCTCCGGCCTCGCTGGCAGCACCTGCATCAGGTACGTCAGCACCGAGAAGGCCAGCGAGTTGTAGGCATAGATATTCAGGCCTAAACCGACCTTCAAGGTTTTTATGTGCCCGATCCTGGGGATGAACTTGATGATGATGGTGATGATGCTGCTGCTGATGATGATGTTGATGATGACGTGTGTGAGTGAGTGGGTGGGTAGATCGGTGAGTGAGTGGGTGAGCGCGTGAGTGAGTGATGATGATGGTGACGAATGTGTGGGTGAGTGAGCGCGGGAAGGGAGAAGAGAAGAGGGGGCGGGAGGTGACTGCGCGGAAGTGTGCGGAGAAAACAAAAACGACTCGAGAAGGTCTGTGGAACCAGACCCCCTCGTGGTGTGATCAAAATGACGATGGAGGGCTTGGGATAATTTTCGTTCTCTGGGGGGCCCTTGCCATACTCTGGGGCCGTCAAGCGACGGGTCGGGCTAAGAACCCAGTATCAGACCTCGGCCGGGGCTCGGGATGAACCCCTCTCTCCCTTGAGAGGGCGCGCGGAGCGCGCCAGGGAGCGGCGCAGCAAGCGCCACCAAGGGGCAGCCAACGCCAACCCAAGAGATCCGCGCGGGCCTCCGGACATTTACGTTGATGCTGTTTTGTCGGCGGCGAGCGAGGGGGAGAAGTGAGAAGGAGAAGGCCTTCTCAGAGGGCGGCGAGGCTTCTCAGAAGGCCTCCAGCCTTCTGACAGCTTTTCTGTCTTCGGGGGAGGCTGAGAAAACTTCTCAGACGGCCGGTGGACATCAGAGCCTTCTGAGACGGCCCTCCCCTTCTCATTCCCCCCGGGCACGCCGCCGATTTTGTTTATTCCACCATCGTCACGAGGTTCCGACAAAGGTCGCCCAGGTTGCGGGCCACCAGAGTGTCGCTCGAAGAAGCCCTCCCAAGACGGTCTCACAAGCTCCAGTGCGCCATGGGCACCCCACAAGCCAGACCGCTCCCACACGGCCTAAGGCTGGCACAAAGCGGCCCAGAAACTCCCCCAGGACGGCCCAACGACCTTGCAAGGAAGCCCCAACCCAGACCTCAGACGTCGTCACTTTGTCACATTGAGCACCCCCGAAAATCTGACCCCCTTCCTTGGGGCCGGCTTGTCATCCTGAATTGTTGTTTAACGGCCCACGGGCCGGTTGAGGGCCCCTAAAAGGCTGAAGGCTGTCAAAAACCTTCCGTCCTGATTGTTCACGACGCGGGGGGGTCGGGGGAGATGTCCCCAACGGCCCGAGACCACCGTCTCCCCAACGGCCCCACCAGCCAGCCGCGTGCGCTTCCCCAAGCGCGGTTGCGGATACGCGCGGCTATGTAAGTGGATTAGAAAGCAACTCCTGGGAGGGCTTCGTAAACACGATTAAAAGCTTAAGCCCGCTTCAAGAACCATTGAACCAGATTAGCCTGGACCAAGCCCAATACTAAGCGGGATTGCAGGCCAAGCGCCGACGCCGAATTCAACCTCCCAGGAATTGCATCCTAAACTGGATGAGCCTCAGCGGCAGCGTTTGATACGATTCATGACCGCTCCATGTCAAACGGCGGGCTGCTGCGCGCCCAAGTGGGCGCATTTGCGGATCGGCGGAGTGCTGCCAAACTGCTCACGGAGGGGGACACGGAACAGTCCCTGCACTACTTAGGCGCAACGAAAGCTTCCTTGGAAACATGGGAGACCTCCAGACAACCCAGACAGGATGCCCGGGCGGCCCCATGGCCCGAAGATGCTCCCACGACGGCCTCAGGCGGGCACGAAGATGACCGCAGCGTCGAAATGGCCTGGAGGCGAATCCAATATGGCCCAAGATGTGAGCGATGCCCTGGAGACCAGGCGCGGTGGCCCCAGAGCGACCGAGGTGGCCGGAGCACTCCCAGAGTGCACAAGCATGATCTGAAGATAACCTGGAGATGATTTCAAGATGACCTCAAGACAACCCGAACACGTCATACATTGGCGGGATTGGGTCCCTCCGCGGGATTTATCCGGACCCTATTCTTTATGGGTGGGATGTATGGTTGGCTGGTCTAAAACTATACAATTTCAAAGAGGGAATTACTTGCCACGGTTCCCGCCGAGACCACGCAAAAGGGCTATCTTGCTCGGCTTCTAGGGGGGGAGGGGGGTTCAACACATCCTTACCCTGAACCCTGTCGGGGCCGTTGCCAAGAGGGGCGCAGCGTAGGCGAGCACACAATGCCATCGGGCCCAACTCCGAAAATTCAAGGCACTTTCGGAGCGGCGATGTATGGGGCATTGAGTTTGCTCCGCACGATGAGGCTACAATTGTGCCTGAATCTTCCCTTTGAGTGAACATGAACACTCAGTAGATCAGTGATGGTGCCAGGCTCAAACTCTGCTCCCTAAGAGCCAGCGGTCACGCAGCCGCACAAACCAAATGGAACCTTCCTGATAACTGTCGTGTTCCACGAACAGCAGCCGCAACACGAGCCTAACGGTGGGGCATATCGTGGACCCTGCCCTTTGTCCCTCCTGATTCCCCCTTCCCCTCCACAACGTAAGCGCCGACGTGCCCAGCAGCTCAACTGGTGATACACCAGTGAAAGCAATGACGAGCACCAGCATGTTCATGTCAATCGGTGCAGTGCCAACTAGCTCAGAGCAAGACAGCACAGTCGCCATGGAAAGACTCCGTAGAAACGACGACAAAGTGCAAACTGAACCATTCATTGTACTTCAAGACAACAATGACGATGGCACGGACAATCATGACGACATATGATTGGCACGAAAGAACGGGTCCTGAGAGAAATGAGTCCTGGAGACCATCTTCGAGACCCTCATTTTCCCCCCTGGCGATAACGGGCGTGACCGGGGGGGGGAGAGGAGGGGTGAGTGGGCGGGTCATATCATGGTTCGCACCGGCGCTGTCTGGGAATGCCTAATCATGGCTAATTCCGAAGCGGCGCTGGCGCGAATCGTGACGTGACCAGGAGGGGGGGATGGATGGTCACGGATGTTATTGCGAATGATTAGAAGGAGCTCTTTTCATCCAGTCTTGTTTCTACAGCCGCGGGGCCCATCTAGGGCCATGTGGGCCCGAAAACGGCGAGAAACAGTAGGAACTGCTTCCCAGGACCCCTTTCCTTCATATCGAACAGTAGGACCACAACGTATACCCAAGAATCGGCGACGCGCTGGACCGGAGGTCCCGCTTTCCCGGGGTCGAAAGTCGCCCCAAATTCATCGTTTGGTTGTCCCTGGGCCTGAACATATGACCCGGAGGACGACATCGGAGAAAGACGCCCGAATTGACAAAATCAGATCGTCGGGCTCTCCCCGTCCTGGCTCAGCGAGGCCACGTAACACTTCTCGCAGAGGTCGTGACTGCAGCGGGCGCAGTGGAAACGGCCTCGCCGCGGGCTGATGCCGCTGTCGCCGCCGCTCGAGGCACGTGCACCTCGGGCCAGGGGCACTTCTGGCAGCACCCGAATCCCAGGGCGCTCTGGAACGCTCTGCGAGCCATGCCCGCCGGCAGGCACGTTCGCCTGGAGGGAACCAAACACAAACATCCCCTGGGTGATCGGATTGCGACCGGCCTCAAAGCGCACCCAAGTCACCGAACCTCAGACTTCGAGCCGCGCGAATCGCAGGGCGCGATTCTCTTCGCATTCCCACGAGGTCACCCTGGAACCGGGCAACTTCTCGGACTGTACCGCACCGCGCGATTATCCTCGTGCACCTGCAGTAACCTGGGCGCACCCTCCCTCTTCCTCCCCCTTTCTCTGAGCCTTCGGCTCGAGCGTGGAGGCTTAGTAATTAATTACGACCGTCGCCATGCTGCGCTGCGTGGCTTGATGGCATGCGTCCCGTGTCATCCACGCCGTCAGGATTGCTGCTTCCCTCAAGGCATCATCCCCTTCGTCTTCCGCCGCCGCCTAAGAGACCGTACGTTGCACGGCCTAGTTAACAGCCCGCACCCAAGCGGCGCTCTGACGACCTGAGATCGGCGACACATCTTCGATAGATCAGCGATAGGCACCCGATTGCGAAACCAGAGGTTCCTCGGCGGGGTGGGGGGCCTGGGACCCGATTGGCGATGAATGGGCGATTGGGGGTCGATGTTCCCCCCTGTCGTTGCCCCTGCGAATGGGTCATGAGGGGATCGGGTCCTAACCACGAGGCCTCCCCCCAAGACCCGCCCTTCACCCCGAATCGTTTCCTGACTGCCCCCAGGCCTGGCGATGGCCCCGAGAGTCCGAAACGGCGAGAAAGCTCAGCCGTTTCCCTCAGGACTCATATCCTTCACGGCGAACCCTTGCAGATCCACACATCCAACGACGTAATTGTTGCAATTTGCCGCCCCAGAGGTCCCGACCCTTTCCCCGGGGCGGCTTCTAGCACTGGACGTATTTTTGCCACATCAAGCTGTGCCTTGGGGATTCTTCTTCGTTGTTGAAGAAGCCGCTGGGTGCCAGATCCGGTCGCGCCAGGGTTCCCCTGGGTTCCATGGCTGTGTTTCCTTACGAGGGGGCTCCTGGGTGCTGGCATTCCGCGGGGTTCCCCTGTTTCGTCTAGTTTTGTCCTTGCAATGTCTGAAGTCAGCCTTCCTCGCCTTCCCTGGGTACCCTGGCCATTTTTTCCCTACTGATCTTGAAACGATGCCAAACAATGCCACAGCGCGGCCAAACATTGCCAAACGACTCCTGGCAATGCCAAGCATCGCAAAGCAACGCAAAACAGTGCTAACACATGCAAGGCGATGCCAAGCCATGCGAAGCAATGCCAAGCAGCACCGAAAAAAACGCATCAATGCAACATTATGCCAAGCAGTGCCAAGTAATTCCAAGCAATGCCCAAAGCGAGGCCAAGCAATGCAAACAAACGCCAAGCAACGCTGGGCAATGCACCGTCAAACAATATAATACAAAACCAACCAATGCCGCGCAGCGTGCCAGCTGTCACCAGGGCCCTGGTCTGGATTGGTGCGGATGGGACGAGCCAGGTGGCAGCGCGGCCAACCCCTTTTATGACATGCTGACGCTACCATTGTGGATGCCATGGCCATGGACACTCTAACAGCTCTACGTTCAGCGATCCCTGCGCGTGGGCCGGGGGACTCCGACGGGGAAATCCGATGCGGGAGACCAATGGGGGAGTCCTGGGAAGAGACCTGCCGAGGAGTCGTATGGGGGAGTCGTTCGTGGGAGGATTCCCTATGGGAGATCAGATCCTCTGGGGGAATCGAATTGGAAGGGGGGGTGCAGGGGGGGGGGCCTGCGGGATGCCGGAGGCCCCAACAATGTCCAGGCGAGTTGATTGTTTCATATCGTTCATTATACCCGAAACCTTAGATGCTCATGATAAGCATTGGAACGCATACCAACAGCCCTGCTTTAAACACTAGCACGACATGCGTTGTCCATTTAAAAGCTCGTCCGCCCGAAAACACTGTCACAACATCAAACAATACATTCTGTATGGCACAATCCAAAAAACGCATATAGGCCACCCGCGGGGCGCCCCCGAGATGTCTGGGCGATGTGCTGATTTGTGTTGTTCCTTTTTCTCTCTTTGTTTATTATTTGAGTTTGTTCCTCTCTTTCTTTCTCTCTCTCTCTCTCTGGGAAAAGAAGCCGCCGCCAGCTCGCACGTGTCCTCTGTTCTCTGTCCTCAACACCCTGGGATCACAATGCTTTTTTAAAGCAGGGGCACCAAGTTTTCAAATTTCCCGGAGGTTCCCGCGCGTTCCCCGGCTGTCTCCCATGGCTTGTTCAAAAGGCATTCGAATGTGCGCACGGTGACATAGGCACGCAGGCACCGAAAATGGCGCAACATCTGCAAGGGAGATGTTCGGCGAGCGCCAGCCCCGACGGCGCGCTGAAACCTCAAAGCGATTTCGCTACGATGCGCAGCGAACATAACTGGTCTAAGACTTATGCTGACTTCGACAGGTGCTTGAGTAACCTAAGAGCGTCCAGAAACGAAGCATGTCTGTCATTTCCAAACGGGATATTCTTCTCCTTGGCGACGTTGGCCCTGTCGGGCCACGCGCGCCACCCGCCCTTGCTCGCGCCGGCCAATACCTTCCCTGAGAGGAAGGCCGCAGACTCGCCAGGGGCTGGGGCTGTCGGCAAACACCCAAGATCCGACTTGCCGCGCTTGGCCGCGGTCAGGGGCGTAGCTGCAGCGGGCCTCTTGCGAGCTGGAGTTCCAGGGTGCTTCGGCGCAGCCTTTGCCTTTGCCTTGACCTTCCCCTCGGGGTGGGCCTTGTCGCCGTTTGCGGCGGCCCCCTCACCTGAAGCCGCGGCGGCAGCGGCGTCGGCCATCTTCGCGCGGGCCTTCTGCGCGAGCTCCACGCGCTCCCGCCCCGCGCGCATGATCCTGTCCAGCTCGCTGAGCCCGAGGGTCGAGTCGCACGGCAAACCGAAGTCCTTCGGCTTGGCCACTCCGACGCCGAAGCCGCCGAGAGCTGCGGCAGTTGCGCTTGCCGAGCTCGCCAGCGGCGCTGCGCCAGCCGCGAGCTGCGGCGGGTGGCAAGGCGCTTGCTGCTGGAAAGTCGAAGCTGCCTCAGACTCAAGCGCGCCCGCTGCGGCGAGAGCATGCTCCGTAGGCGCAGGCAGCGCCGTGGGCGTAGGCACCGCAAGCGCAGGCAGCCCCGCGCCGACGAGGAACTGCGGGGCGCTGCCATGCCTGGCTGCGTGGCCGCCCGGTCCATTGCCGCGCCCGTGGGCCTTCGTGGCGGCCAACTACGCAGCCAACGTCGGCTCGCCCGCCCTCCGCCTAACCGGAAGTGGCGCAAGACGAGATTTTAGACGTAGACTTGCCGAACTGGCCGCCTGTCAGCATCTGGGGGCCCATCATCATCGCCTGCTGCGGGTCGATGCAACGCGCAACTTCAGTGAAGAGAAACGCTGCCACATCCTGCATGTTGAGGCTCGATGGCTGCCCGCCTCCAGCGCGCGCAGCCTGCGCCCCCCTGAACGGGCCGCGGCCGCCAGCGTCCATGAGCGACGGCAAGCGTGCTGGGCGGGGGCTCGAGCTCCTCGCGCGCTTGTTGACGTCCCTGCACGAAGTCAGCTTGCGTATCTGGGTAAACCTGTCGGATGGCATTGTCACGGGCTGGTCGCCTGCATCTGGGTAGAGCGCCCGCGTCGCGATAGGCGGCAGGTCGGCAAGAATTTCTGGCCAAACCCTGATCACTGGCAGGTCCGCGCGCTGCCTGCGGTGCTTCCTCAACTCCTTCATGATCGACTGCGCGCTCTCGTGCGCGGTCACGTTCGTGATCGAGTCAGTCCAGACGGCGGTCGCCAGCGCGGCCGCGCAATCTGGCGCGGCAAGGGCAGATGGCTTGAATAAGCCGCCCATGACCAGTCGCCTCACCACGATTGCCCGAAAGGGCGAGTCCGCGAACGGAACCTCCGCGCTGGCGATGGCGACCCAGTCCGTCGGAGTCAGGTCAGTCATGCTGCTGCCCGCCTTGATGAACTTCTGGCACTCGGTGGGGCCGAGAACGGGTTCCGCCCTGAATTGGGCGCAGCCTGCCTTTGAGCGCTGCGCATCTGGTCGCCGTCTGGCCCTGGTCGAACTCGGCCCCGCACAGCTCAGTCATCAGCTCGGACACCTGGGCGGAGGAGATCGGCTGGTTGATCGCGCGCACCATCTGCGCCAGCGAGCCCGCGAGGCTGTTCTTGATCCTGCCGAATTCAGCGCCACCCCCCATCATCGCGCGCTTCTCTCGGATGACGCTGGAGCCGCCCCTGATCTCAGAGAGCGCCGTCACAGCTGACGCCATGCCTTCAGCAAGCGATGGCGTGCGCGAGCGCCCGCGCCGTCAAGACTAAGAAAACAAAAAAACATTTAGCCAACACCTGCTGCGGAGAGAAGTGCGCATAAAGGTGGCATGCGCTTCTCAAGGCTGCACAACTCCACAGACAACCGCTCGGAACAACCTCCGTGGGTGGATGTGGTCCCGCGCGTCGACGCCCGTCCGGTCGGCGAGGATGTCTAAGTTGAGAAACCGCGGTCGACCAAGACGGACTTCGCTTTTTAATCTCAGAATCGAGGGTCGACCACCGTCGGTCGACCACCGTCTCAAATATGAGAATTTCTTGTCGATCGCCGTCGACCACCCTTCCTCATCTTAGAAAGGGTGGTCGATCGCAATCAGCCGCCCTTCCTACTGCTGAAAATCTGGCTCGTCTCAGGCCTAACTAGCGACGGCGTTATGCCGACGCCATCACTGGTGCGCAGTTGCAGGCATGCCTCCGAACACGAGCCCCATGCGCCCTCCAGCGCAGCCCCCCCCCCCCCCCCCTTGGGCACCTGCGAAATGGATGCTCGCTCAGAGCCCGAGGGGGGCGGAGGGCGAAGAAGGGGGCGCCTCGGATGACGAGATGGAAGGGAATGGAG